ACCATATAAATGTCTGTCACACACACCGGCGAGACACAGAACTCACCATTAGCCCTCAGGTGAAGCTCCCAGCGTCTACAGACATGATCAAGGTTGTACTTCTCAGTGTGACATTACTGCTTGTGAACTCAGCACCACATAAACAACATTTGATTCTGGAGGATGTGATGAAGGAGCTGAACACCTCGATCCCTGAGGTAAGCCAACAAAAAGATGATAAGACATGCTGACTCAGTGTGAGAGCGCTGCAGGGTCGGTCTGTCTGTCTGTGAGTGTGTGGAGTATGTTTGTATCACATTGTGGGGACCAAATCCAAATGTCCCCCACGACGTAAATAAAAGCCTGTTCTTTTGACGTTGTGGGGACCATTTTTTAGGTCCCCACAAAGATCTGTGTATGCAATCAAAAAACTAAAAATGCCAAAAGTCTCATGTTTTGTTTGGTTACTTTTGAATAAGCTTAGGGCTGATTTCTTAAGGTCGTCGTGTTGGGGTTAGAATTTTCTCAATAGAAATTAATGGAGTGTCTCCACAGATATAATTACAAACCTGTGTGTGTGTGTGTGTGTGTGTGTGTGTGTATGTGTTTAAACGATAGTTAATTTTCATCATTCCCTGTTCAGGACCTGGAAAACAAATTGGTACCAGATTCTTTCAACACAACAAGTTGTTCGGTGAGTATTGCGCATCACGCCTTGATACTCTCATTGCACTACGAAAGCCTGTTTGTTGCTTGTGCATACACTCATGAAGGAAGAACTTCACTATTCCCCATACAGAAACAGTACTTTTGTCAAGTGCAAGCAGTTCTGAAGGAAATCAAGCATGACTTCATGCAGAAATGGAACATCAACCGGGCCCTGCAGGCCTACCACAAAGTAAGTTTGGAAGGAATGTTCAGGGCAGGGGAAGTGTCAGTACTGGATTTTACTCAGGCACAACAGGAGACTGCGGATCTGATATTAAAATAGAGCACACTTTGAGTACTTGGGATTTTCGTAACTAACTTAATGTAAGCTAAGTGATTCTAGATTAACCACTCAGGGACTGAGTCTTATTGTCAACACTGAGTTTAATTGTCAAACATGACACCCACCCTAGTGAGGATGGTGGGGGTCCCACTGGCAGAATGACCTTTCACCTAACCAGAACAATCTGTCCCCATTCAGATAAAAAATTGTCCCATCTTCGAGACCGGGAATGAGCTTCAGCTGAAACACTTTCTGATCAAGGCCCATCGCTGCGCTCAGCAGATCTACTCAAAACCCTAATTTCTCCACTATTTATGTATAATTTATATTTTAAGTTATTTAAAATATGATATTGTTGGAATGTTTGTTTTCATAATTATTAAGAATCATAAATAAAGGACAGCAGTTGACCTCTGAGCTCTGAAGATGTTTCTGTTCCTGCACTGCAAACGCGTTAAGAGCGCTGACCTCTTCCTCCCAAAACTCACTTGTCTTTTAACAATCAGTGAAAATACAGAGCCTAAACAAAATTTTAATCTAGGTTGCAGTGATCTGACGTGAACTGGCCTGGACAGAATGAGTCACTTCTGCAGCACTTTCCAGATGCCCTTGATTGATCAGGCTATATGGGACAAGCGGCAGCTGCGAGGTCTCCTGACCACAGCGAACATGCTAATTATCTTTGTCTATACACACATTATATATATATCATTTCAATAATAAACTCATTCAAAATACCTAACTTTGCAACTCAACTGCATACAACTCAAATGTTAAACTCAGACAATTTTAAAGAAAAACAAAATAAGTTTGTGTGTCGAAATAATAGAAATGCTGAGAATGACATGGATATACATCACCAACATGTAACCACACATTCTGCTACGTAGCCAGCGTACATTAACAGGGAAACAGTACACAATACCCAAGGAAACACCTACTGCCCTTACTACCCTTAGACTCATGAAGAGAATGACCATCATCTGGAAGGTCCTGTCATCTCCAACCACGTTTGAACAGACGATTCAAAGGCTGACACGTAAAAGGGAGTGCTTAGTGGTAAAGTAAATAAAAGTGAATTCAGAGGGCAAACAACATGCATAGACTGGCTGGTAATAGTGTTACTGCGTAGGAAAGGGGAAGCACTGCTTCATCTCTACATATAACCATTAATATACTGTAGGACCTACACATTCAGTATGACGCAACACACAGTTTTTGTACAAGGTGCTTGGTCTTTTTCACAGTCCATTTTAAAGCACAGATGCCCATGGTTCACAGTCCGATGCCTCTATCGTCCCCTGAAGTAGTGAAGGCCTTTCCCATGTACTCATCCCACAGAGCTGAGGTGTTCTCCCGTTACTGCAGAAGGGACTCAATCGCAGTCTCTGGTTTAGTGGGTCGTTTCCTATAAGGAGGAGAAAAGAAGAGATCATGCAGAGAGCTGAAGAGAGGTAGCTGGGGGCGTGTGCTGTGTGGCCCTCAGGCATTACCGCCTGCTGGTCTTCGGCCTGGACTTCCCACTCCTTGGAGCCCGCGGTCGCTCCTGCTTCATGATGGACTGCCTCATACTCTCCTCTGTGTAGGCCAGGTACACGTGGGACAGGTCCACTTCCAAGGGCTGTGAGGGGAGAACAGTTCCCAGTGAGACTGATGCTCAGAGGCCAGGGGAAAGCGGCGGGCGACCGCAGGAAGGGGGCGACCTCAGGAAGGGGGCGACCTCAGGAAGGGGGCGACCTCAGGAAGGGGGCGACCTCAGGAAGGGGGCGACCTCAGGAAGGAGGCTTCACGGAGAACTTACATCGGATTCCTTCTTATCCTGGCCTGGGGTCTGCTTCCTCATGTTGTTTCCGGTGTAGGCCACACATTTCTGAGAAGGAACAAAATCTGCTGTGAGTCTGCCACCAGAAAGCTGAGATAGAAACAGCCCAAGAGGGTCCTGCTGCGCGTAGCAGCTGTGAGAAAGGTCTCCTCTCGCCTTGAGGGCTCCCCATCTCACCATCTACTCACCAGCTGCCACTCCCCAATGTCTTCGTTCCAGTGCACATAATTCTCAATCATCTCCTGTGAGGCGAGACCATGCCCTGTTAGCACGTCACTGCACGACACCTACCATGCCCTGTTAGCACTTCACTGCACGACACCTACCATGCCCTGTTAGCACGTCACTGCACGACACCTACCATGCCCTGTTAGCACGTCACTGCACGACACCTACCATGCCCTGTTAGCACGTCACTGCATGACACCTACCCTACGAAGTGAACATTTTACATGCCTATGAATTAAAAACACATAAAATGACAGGTGTGCCATAACAAGGGCTTCGACCACGAGCAACATGCTACCTTCGGAAGATGATCTTTCACAGGATTACGATACAGCATCAAAAACCAGAGGGTTTCATTCAGCAAGCACTGATTACTTTGGTGGGTTTTTCCAGCTTAGCAGGCTAATTCTTTGGTTGGCACGTGTCCTTTCAGGGGAATAAGGAAGAGACTCTCGGGCCACCTGCCTGGATCCCTCACCTGGTATTCCTGCGGGATGAAGTTGTCGATGATCAGCATCTGGAGCCGAAGCTCACGGCTGAGCTGACGGATGTTCTCCAGAAGCCCCTCGATCTCCCGTTGGTGCTCCTGCTGCAGATCTGCCATCTGTGGGATGGACATGAAGAATGTGTGACCCGCCAAGGCCCCTTTAAGGCCTGGCTCCGCCAGCTTCAGGTTGGATTTACTCCAGAGCAGAAGCACAAACATCTCACCACCCTGGGGAACTGGGTCTTTTCCCTGGCTCTACTCACCTCTGACTTGGCAGCCATAAGCATGGTCCAGACCCTCTTCAGCTTCTTGGTTTTTCCTTGCGCTTCCTCCTGCAAGCTGGTGTACTTCTCCTCAATGTCAAGGCGCTCTTGCTGTTTTTTTTTTTTTTTTAAAGAAGAAACAAGGTCCCCATGTTGTCACTGGCACCGGCAATATATGGGGATTCAGGTACAAAAATAATTCCATCTGCTCTGTCTCTGCACTTCCGTATAAGTTCCATGTCAGCGACAACCAGCAACTAATTACTGTAAGCACCTTCACAGAAGTGTCTCTGAGGAACTGCAACCGGACCCAGTTCCGATGATGTCGCTCTCACACACACACACACACACACACACACACACACACACACACACACACACACACACACACACACACACACACACACACGTGTGTGTGTGTGCCAGCCCACAGCTTTGTCTCTGGACAAACTTTTTCCTGCCTCTATAATGTGTGACGTTTAGACAGCCAATCACCAGCGGCTTGAGATCTTTACTCAGAATGCTTTTAAGCTCACAGATTTACTTTGGGTATCGGAATTTGGTGCCAAAAGATTAAATAAAGAATCAAATTAATTTTTCAGTCCTCGACAGGACTGGAGTATTTCAGTCGATACCACAAAAGTACCAAAGTTCGGGACCCAGCCCTCTCCCCTGGCAGCCCCAACCTCCTTCTCCTCCAGCTCCCGGTGGAGCCGCTCCGCCCGCCGACGCCTCTCCTCCAGCTCATTGTTGGACTCCTCCAGTAGCCTCTCCTGCTCCTCAGCCTTGGCCAGCAGGTCCACTCCCCCGACAATGACCTTCTTCTCGAGGGCAGACAGTTTCTCCAGCAGCAAGAGGTGTTCATGCCTGACGGGGGAATGGGGGCGGAGAAAAACCGCGGGATTTAGGATAACAGACAGATGGAGGAAAGGGCAAGGTCATCAAGTAAACATGAAGGAGACCAACTGGGCTTTAAGGAGATCCTTCTCCCTCTTCTCCAGCTCGGCTCGAGCCTTATTCCTCTCCTCTTCCTCCATGTCCAGCTTGGCCTCCAGAGCCCTCCTCTCCTCCTCAATCTTGGCCTGCATCTCCACCATCTTTTCAGGGGACACCTTCTTCTTTCCTAAAAAGAACAAAGTCTTCATCTCCAGCTATATTCGCATTACCATATATGAAAAAGAAATCAGAATTAATAGCATCCAGTGACATCGAGTTTTAGATACAGGCATCTTGTTATTGTATTCTTTCCCTGCTAGGCTGGCTTCAGTCTCATTTATTTTCTGTTTCAGTGTGTGATTCCCACTTTAAACGGAGTGAGTCGCCATGGCAGCCACAGTATCACCATCCCAGAACCCTCATGCTATTATCTGACACAGAAAGGTAATCCTGCAGGTGTGTCACAGGTACCTCTGAACGTGTTGGAGACAAACATGGTGTTACAGGAGCCCATGAGCCCAGGTGCAGGCTCACATTCATATTCTGAGGCCTCAGGCAACCATGACAACACGTTTATCCAGTTTATGTGGTAAGAAACTTTTAGGTTAAACTAGATTGGCAGGGAAATATTACTACATTTATGCTTAATAAGCATATCTCCTTTCACAAAATATCAATCATACATGTCAAGAGAACAGCTTCTGAAGATTGCAGAGAGATGGAACCAACATTTTAAAAGCTAGTTTTGAGGAACAGAAGAGGGTGTAGCTGCTATCATCACCTGTGAGAAGGACGGGCATGACCAGTGTGACCGGACAAGACACCAAGA